ATCACTATCTTTCACTCCCCATTGGTCACGTGACTCCGCCCCCACCGCGCTGTGCCTGCACCATCTTGGTCATTTGTCGCCGCTGTTGGGTAACGACAATGTGATACTGTGACAACAGGTCTCATGATTCTAGGATATATCTATTGACCGTGGACATATATCTACTGGCCATGGACATAGATCTACTGGCCATGGACTTCTCAAGGTGCATTGTGGGAAATTTCGAGTCCACTGCTTTTTCATCACTAGACGTTGGTAAGATCATTTAAAAAAGCGTAACCACTATACAGGGATTAGGGCAGACGTTCAGACACAGCTTTTTAACAATAAAAATGACCAATGAGCGCTGGTTACAGGTTGTTCTCTAACTGATAAACCAGAAAAGAACAAAACCAGAACTACTGATGGATGATTATAAAGCTCAGCAAACATTTAATGTTCATATATAGTTCACCTTTAACAGTAGCAGCTGCATCCGGGGTTTAGACTCTCTGTTGTAGTTTAGTCCAGCTGTATAGTACCTAAAAACATGATGTCACATGTATGTGGGGGTTGAAAACAGGAAACAAGAACAAATCGTAAATTCATTTGTTTTATTGACTTACATCGACAAATTCAGACGTTTTTAATGACTGTGATCCCCATACCCCTGAACTACCTGAGCCGACTCCCTTCTGCACAGAGAAGCAGCAGCTCTGGTCCAACGATGCGACCGAGTTTTAGGGCTAGGCTAGAGATTTTTATTTTCTTTAATTAGGAGAGTAAAATCACAACATTATGACAATAATTGTATTTGTGAGATGATTTGGATAAAAGCGTCTGCTAAACGCATAAACATTAAAAACCTAATGTTTTGACATTATAAGGTGATAACACGAGAATAAAGTCCCAATATTACGAGAATATTCATAACATTATGAGAACAAAGTCGCAACATTAAGAGAATTGTCGTAACATTATCAGAATAAAGTTATATTATGAGAATAGTCATATATTACAAGAATAAAATCATAAGATCATAACATTTGTTGTTGTAAAATCGTAAATTTACAACAATAAAGTTGCAACCTTATGAAAATAAAGTCATAAAATTCTGAGAATAAAATCGTGACATTATAAGTGTTGTCATAAATTTATGACAATAAAGTTGCAATATTATCACAAAGTCATAATATTATGAGAATAAAGTTGTAATATTACAAGAATAAATTTGTAAAATTAAGAGAATAGTCCTAAAACTCTAAGAATAATGTCATAATATTATGAGAAAAAAAGTATTATTTTGAGAATAAAGACGATTACAAGAATAAAATCATAAGATTACAAAAGTAAAATCGTAAATTTACAGAAGTTGCAACATTATGAAAAATATACTTAAAATTCTGAGAATAAAGTTGTATTATTATAAGAATAAAATTGTGACATTATGAAAGTCGCAAATTTACAACTCTCATTTATTAGAATTAAGTCGCAACATTGCAAGAATAAAGTTATACATTTACGAGAATAAATTTGTAAAATCATGAGAATAAAGTACTAATATTATGAGAATAGTCCTAATATTACAAAATAAAGTCATAACATTACGAGAATAAAGTCATAATAATATGGGAATAAAGTCGTGTATTACAAGAATAAAGTCGTAACATTATAACAGTATGAAAATAAAGTAATAAAATTACGAGAATAAAGTCGTGGTATTATAAGAATAAAATTGTAACATTACGAAAATCGCAAATTTACGACAATAAAGTCACAACATTAACATTACGAGAATTTAGTCGCAACATTATGAGAATAAAGTCATAATAATATGAGAATATAGTCGTGTATTACAAGAATAAAATTGTAACATTATAACAGTATAAAAATAAAGTAAAAAAATTACGAGAATAAAGTCGTAGTATTATAAGAATAAAATTGTAACATTACGAAAATCGCAAATTTACGACAAAGTCACAACATTAACATTACGAGAATTGAGTCGCAACATTACGAAAATAAAGTCATAATATTATGAGAATAAAGTTGTAATATTATGAGAAAAAAAGTCCAAATATGAAAATAAAGTCGTATATTACAAGAATAAAATTGTAACATTATAACAGTATGAAAATAAAGTAATAAAGTTACGAGAATAAAGTCGTGGTATTATAAGAATAAAATTGTAACATTACGAAAGTCGCAAATTTGCGGAAATAAATTCACGACATTAACATTAAGAGAATTAAGTCGCAACATTACGAGAATAAAGTCATACATTAACTTGAATACATTTGTAAAATCAAGAGAATAAAGTCAAAACATTAGAAGTGACATTATGAGAGTATTATCTTATGAAGTTATACTTTGACAAATAAGGAATTATATGTCTTTTAGCATCAAACTATTATCAGTATTGGAACTTTAAAACAACTATCTCTCTATGGAAGAAAGCATGCTGGAAACTTTATTGTTACATTATTCCTTTAATAATATGACTTTATGACTGTAATACAAATAAATTCTCTACAGGTCTCTAGACTTGTTGAAAGTGTAAAAAATGAAGAGCAAAGCAGGAGAAATTGTGCATACAGAGATGATTTTATTGAAAGAAAGAGAAGCTAGCAAACATTCCTACCGTATTTTCCGGACTATAAGCCGCTACTTTTTCCCGCTCGCTTTGAACCGTGCGGCTAATTAGCAGGTTTCCTAACCGCCAGAAGGTGGAAGTCAAAGTTGGAAATCAAAGCAGCTTAGCACAACAACATGCTAGCAGCAGGCACAATGGAGAAGAAATGTCCCAAATTCAAACATTTTTGACATTTATTTGCTGCATTAAAGCTGCCGAAGCAAACAAAGAGACTAGGTTTAGCTCCTAGAGCTGAAATAAAGAGCTGATGAAGCTCCATCTTTAGTAGTAGCTCCTACTGCTGCAAGCTAACAAGCTAATGGAAGCTAGCATTCGTCTTCCTCCCTACTCCAGGGGCTATATGTAGAGCTCCCCCTACAGGTTTGGTGGGAGACATCAGCTAATATCCCGGTGCAGCTTATATATGTACGGTTACATTTTGTGGGCGTGGCTTATAGTGAGTTGCGCTCTATAGTCTGGATAATACGGTATTTATAATACGGTACAGAAGGTGGGAGGAGCTTGAACTTTGGTACATTCTGGTGAGTCTGACAATTTTTTTTTTTTTTACTCAAAGGCTCCTTTTGTGCAAAGACCCTTTAAAAAGTATTCACACCCCTAAATGTTCCCTCGATGATGAAAGGATAATGATGCCTCGGTTCGTGGACCGGTGTTGTAAAGAATGACCGTTTACAGTCGTTAGCGCCGAGAGACGTTGGGTTTAGGTCTGGGCTTTGACTAGGCCATTCTAAACCACTCTGATCTAAACCATCTGCAGTAGCTCTGTGTCGGTCTCCTGAGAGTTAGCCTCAAGCCTTGATTAAAGGGGAAGACTGCAGCATGAGTCCGCCACCACCTTGCTTTCATAAGAGGTAGAGGTTTGGTCTCATCTTACCGGCGTGATGCTCTTCCACTTCCTTCTCACCGCTGTTCAACAAACAGTAGGAACTGAAAATAGCAACGTCTTAAAAACGCGGATTGTTTTCCTTCCTGTTCCCAGCAGAAGACGGGCAGGGGTGTGAATACTTTTGCATCCCGACCAAGTGACACATTAAAAAACAGTGGGTCAATGTGACTCATTCACTACGATACATTCCACATAAAAACATACCCAACGAATAAATAAGTTAGCGATAAACTTTTAATCAGTGCTGGGGACCAGTAGCTAGCTAGCTGCAGGAGCAACTGGGCTAACTGGGGGGAAAAGAGACAGAATCCCAATTTTACTGGTTTAACATAGAAAGGATGTGATGTCACTCAGCTTATAAGATGCCACAGGTGGGTGAACATTAGCATAAATGCATGCTCAGGTGAAAACGTTCTCATTTCCCTCAGTGAATAAATAACAGCGTAAAAAAGCAGGAAGGGATGTGGGAAAAAACAACTCAAAGCAGCAAATTTAGTTTTTACAGTTAGGGCCAGACTAGAGATTTTTTTTTTTTATTTTGAGAATAAAGTCATAACATTACGAAAATAAAATTGTAACATGGAAATAGTCATAAAATTACAAAAATAAAGTCGTAATACTAAGAAAATAAAGTCGTAACATTACGAGAATAAAGTCATAATATTAGAAGAAAATAATCATAACAACAATAGTCATAAAAAAGGGAGAAAGCTTTCCTTCTAAAAAGGGTTGTTGTCAGGACTCCTGTCTGGGTGGTTTGTGTTTTGTGTGTTTGTCTTCCTTCCTCCACCAGGCGGCGCCTGGTCCTGATTCTCCTCCTCACACACCTGCGGAGGGTTACCTCGTTAACGGAGTGCTATTAAGCTGCTGACTGCCACTACCTCGACGCCAGACTGTTTGCCAGTTTAGGGTGCTCTAGCCAAGCTGAGTTTTGCTGAGTCAAACTGAGTTTTTTCAACCTGAGTTTAAATCTTGCTATTTTTGTCTTTGCCCTTCGGCAGGAAGTCATCCTGCAAACTGGACGTTTCGGACCTTCTCTCCCTGGAAGGAGCCACTGAGCTTCAAACTGAGCTGGGGATTCAAACTGGAGGTTTGGATCCACTTTCCTCCAAGGGATCGTTTGAGTTTCACACTGAGCAAGGGATTCATCTGCACAACAGTCCGTCCAAGTACCGCAGGAAATCTGAGTGGCAGTCAGTTTCTCCGTTCTCCTACAAACAACCTTATTCTGGGTAAACCCTGTCTGCCCTCCACCGAATGAGACAAACACTGGAACACCCCACACCGACCGGAGTCAAAGAGTCAACCACTTTTCTGGAAACGTGAGTCTGCCAACCTTTTCTCCTCTTTAAGTTTGAGAATATATTCTCCCACTGAACTTGAACTAACCGTAGTGTCTTCCCCTCACCCTTCAGTTCTGTTTGAGCAGTGTTCAGAGCAACACTGGAGTCTCCACAAGCTTCTCAATAAACCTGTAAAAACCTTTTCCCCAGTCTCTCTGTTTGGGTTTCTCTGCATGTGGGTCCGAGCTCTTGATAAAATCATGACAGTTGTGATATGTTGACTCTATTCTCGTAGTATTGGGACTTTATTCTCATTATATCACAACTTTATTCTCGTAATATTTCGACTTTATTCTCAAATTAATAAAAATAAATCTCTGGCCTGGCCCTAATACTCCATTGTACGCTCCATTTTAAACCTGTATCCACTGAAACACGTGCTCTGGGCTAAAAACAAAGCCCTGATCATCAGCCTCCCACCGCCGTGCTTTGCAGCTGGTGTTTGTCTTCTAACACACCGATTTATTCTTCAACCAAATGCCAAAGGTCGTTGTTTTCATCTGTGCTTCATTCAGCTGCATCTTTGCACACCTGGATGACCTTTCCCTTTTCTCTTTAACATTTTGTCCAAAATGGTGGAATGAAAAAACGTTTCTTGTGTTTCTTTTTTGACTAAGTAAGTGTTGAAGTCTTTGCTTTGGTTACTGTTAACTCTTGATATGTTATAGTCCACTGGGAGGAGGGCAGTTTAAACCTTAGAAAGTAGGTTTTACTTTTATCAAATGACTTGATGCAGATCTGAGAGGGAAAAAAAACATTAAGGTTGGTTACATTCAGATCGCGAAAAGTCTCCATCGATTACAAAATAAACGCCGTCCATCGATGAAAATACTTCAATTTGATATAAAAACCTCAAACTAGGCTTTAAAATCGGCTATTCGCTTCAAGGTCAGTTGAAAAATTTCCACTGAGAGCATAGCACGGTCAGAAAAAAGGCGCAGTTTACGTGTGCAGTTTCTACACCCGCCACAAGAGGGAGCTGAACTCAGTGCTTTGATCGACATTCTGGTAAAAGAAAAAAAAATCCAAACTAGGATTTAAAATCAGCTGCTAGCTTTAAGGTTAGTTGAAAAAATTCCCACCGATAGCATAGCAATGTCAGAAAAACGGCGCCGTGTAGGCACGCAATTCCTAAACCTACCAAAAGAGGGAGCTGAACTCGGTGGTATTTTGATTGGAATTCTGCTAAAAAAGAAAAAAAACTTTGAAATAGGTTTTAAAATCAGCTGTTCACTTTAAGGCCAGTTGAAAAATTTCCTACAATAGCATAGCAATGTCCAAATAACGGCGCCATCTATGCAAAAAGTTCCTAAACTGGCCACAAGAGGGAGCTAAACTCGGTGGAGCTTTGATCGGCATTCTGATAAAAACAAAAAAACCCTCTGAACTAAGCTTTAAAATTGGCTGTTCGCTTCAACTTCAGTTGAAAAAATCCCTCCAATGCTGTAGCGATGTCAGAAAAATCGCGCTGTCTACACAAAAAGTTCCTAAACGGGCCACAAGAGGGAGCTGAAGTCTGTGCTTTGATCGGCATTCTGGTAGAAAAAAAAAAAGAAACTAAACAAGGTACGTTCTTCCTTCAGTTTAGGAGGAAAAGTCAGTTCTCTCCTTGTGTTGAATCGGGTCTCTGACGGGTCGGATCGGATCAGGCTAGCTCTGACATCGGATCCCAGGGCAGTGTAGTGCTTCGGTTGTGAAAGCGTGCAAAACAAGGACAATTGCAACGTAAAGAAGTGATCTCCTTAGAAGGCTGGTCCTGATTTGTGCCGCAGTGTCCCTCTACTGGCAGAGTCTTTGAACTGCGTGTTAGCGAACCAACCAATCGTCAACCGCTACCAGCTTTGAACTGGTTCTCCGGGTTTCAGAGGCAGTGATGTAGCCATTAAAGGCTGACCAATCGCCGCTCCCAACATGGCCGCCCGTCTTCACCAACCGGGGATGGAACAGATGAAGACGGGCCGACTATTCCAGTCCGAAGGTGCTGGTCTCCTCCACGGCAGTCAGCATCTTCTCATAGAGCATGGAGAAGGACTGGTACGGCGGCAGGTCCAGGCGGTTGAAGCAGGTGTGAGCTCTGAGGGGACAAAACCACAGAATTTAGAGCGGTGTCATCGATTAATACGCCATTATCCTGAACTTTGACCTGTTCACTAACCACCATCTAAACACCACCATGTTGGACTTCTGGATGAGCTCAGGGTGGTTCTCATAGATCTGGACCTACAGGATGGCCCTTGCTGTGGTTTAGACGCCTACTTCATGCTGCCAGAAAGGCTCTACTGAAGTCATTTCAGCGTTTTGGGAGCAAAGTGGAACTAATGAGGGTTTCTTCAGGATTTCATATTCTCTCAATCGTCGCAGGTTGTGTTTGCTGGGTATGACAGCTCTGACCAAACTCAGTGGAAACATCTGCAGTCAGTCACCTGGGCAGTGAGGTGATCTTCCCCCACTTCTCCACACAGAACCGCCGCGGTCCGTTGCTGCCGCGCAGCGCAGCGAAGCCCTCGTACGGAATGCTCGACGTCCCCGTCACAAACTCCACAGGAAGAGGAGAGAGAGGGAGGGATCAGAGAGAGGACCACAGCTTTCAGCAAACCTTTCCGTCGCAGGCAGGAGGTTTCTGGAGGTTCTACAGAACCTTCCTGAACCCGGTCCTCCCAGCAGCAGCAGGCCTACCTGCAGCAGACGAAGCCTCTGCTCATTGTTGAAGCGCTCCACGGCCGCCCAGAACCACCGGATCACAATGTGGTTGTCATGGTAACCTGGACACAACACATCCTGCTTTAGATCCGCTGAGTGGGTCAGAATAAGGAAGGAAGGAAGGAAGGAAGGAAGGAAGGAAGGAAGGAAGGAAGGAAATTAGCTAGCTAGCTAGCTTTTGGTCCCCTCTACCTCCTCTGTACTCGGTGTTGTTCCTCCAGTCTGACAGGTCGATCTCGGCCGTCCCAGCGATCACCAGCTCCAGCTCCCTGGCATCGAACACAGACACCAGCCTGGCGTCCACCACCTGGACAAACCGCCAACCGTGAGGCCCCAGAGAACTGAGCGACTGCAGGAACCACACAGTCTGACTTTCCCACAGACCGCACCTCATAGAAGCCTCTGACCAGGCTCTCCGTCTGCTGAACCACTCCCCGCTCTATCCTCCACTTCACCATCCGCTCGATGTACTCCTTCTTGTTCTTCTCTGACACCGGGATGTTCCCTCCACCAGGCTTCAGCTCCCGCTCTGTGATCTGCACACACCAAAGTTCAAAGATCGTTTGGAATCTCCTCTCTCTCCCATTGGTTCTTATCTCCCCTTACTGTCTCTCCTCCCTTTCTGTTCCCTGTCTGTCTTAATGGTCTGCTTGTTTGGCAAACAGCTAGCTCTGGGACATCTATTCCCAGACAAAGGCCATGTCCTTTGGACAGATTTGCCAAGAACATGCTTGCAAAACAATCTCTACCCACCACATGGAGGCGGGAGTGTAATGGTGTGGGAGGTTTTTCTGCATCCATCATTATAGAAAAATATAAGACTCTCATTTTTTACTTTACTAGAACATCCAGAAGCAAAATGTCTGACCTTAGAGTCCGACACTTTGGTGAGTCATAGTCATTGTTCCTGCACCCCTTCACATGCCCTGTTCCCGTTCCTGACCAAACCCTTCAGCGCTTCCCGACCAGCAGGCAGCGTCGGAGTCACACCTGTCCAAACACTTCCTCGTTGACGGTGAAGGTGAGGTCCAGCATCTCTTCGATGTCATTGTCCTTCATCCACTGGAGGGACTGGTGGAACTCCTCGTCCAGGTACTCCAGGTCGCTCAGGTCGCAGGGGCTGCAGGGCGGTAAAACAACCAATGAGGGACTGGAGGTGAATGAGTGAAAGAGCGTGAGCTGCGTGCGCACGTACATGCGGAGGAGGCCTTTGTAGAAGGGTCTGGTGAAGAAGGCATCCAGCAGATACTGGTGGATCAGAGCTAGACCCAGAATGCGGCCGCTGAAGCGGAACCTGAGGCACACAGAAGGAGAACCGGCTTCATGACCGTACTGAAAGAAAACGTAACATGGCCGCTCCTCCTCCTCTCCATCCTGGTGACACAGATCAGGGCAGCTAAAGCTCAACACCATCAAACCTTTGATCTTCCTGTTAAATCCAGAATAGAATTATGGAAATAAGCATCAACTAATGTAGTGATCGATAATCATTACATGTAGCATAGAGACGGTAGAACATGCCTTAGCTGACAGAGCGACCCACTTAGAGCAGTAACTACATCAAAAGTGTAAAAAGAAATTGCAATTCAGATTTTAAAAAGTATTTCCGTCTGTCAATATTCTCCATCCAGAACTCCTCAAGTGGCTTTCATTTCATAAAAAATCTTCTTTATGGAACCTTTGGCTATCTGATTATTAATCAATTGATTGAAAAAGTAATCGACAGATTCATTAATTTGCAAATTATCTCTAGTTGCAGCTCTAATCTCTGCAGTTATGCTGCTGTTGGCTTAGTCCACTGGAGGACCACGTTTCCTCATTTTTCTTCCTTCTACCTGTATTCTATGTTGTGCATTGGCACTATAAAAATAAACTGAACTGAACCAATTAGATCTCTGCCTCTAGTGGTTAGGTTCAGGGTCAGGCAGAGCCCTCAAAAAGATGCTAAAGGAAGAACATTGTGTTTGTGTAGGGTATTACCATTCATGGTGATTGTCTACAAAGGCGGACATGGGGCTGATCTGAACGGTATACGTGTCGTTGGCTGAATATTCAAACAGACCATAATATGGGTTGAAGAGTTCCCTAGAAACCAAGAAGAAGAACTCCCTCGAAGGCCCGCTGTAGTCCAAGCTGTAACGACACATGCCCAGGTTAATGTTTGAAGGACATCTTTTAGACTTTCCTCGCGACGGTTTCCCTGCTCGGTGACTCACCCTTCCTCTCCGGCAAAGCTGACATAGAACTTGCTTCGCTGCAGGTCTTTCCTGGAGTAGCACATGATCTGATTGAAGGCGTCTTCCAGGAGGTGGTCTCGACGGATACTCAGTCTACACAAACATGGACATGGAACCCAAACCATGAACCCAAAGGGAGTGAGAAGACGCAAACAGACTCATGCAGATGGGAATTTACTCACTTTAGCTTCCCGGGGCCTTGGCCGTAGCCTTTGGTTTCGAGTTTCCTGTAGAAGTTGCGCAGTTTAGCCTCAAAGTCTCTCTTGTAAGGAGCTGGGGCTCTGGCGTTGGCTCGCTGAGTTCCTGCAGAGAGAGACATGACCAGAGGCGGTTTCAGGACCCGTCCCTTCCACTTCCTTAAAGTTATAGAGGAATAAGAGGTCCTCCTAATTGTCAATCAGTGTGGTGATATCTTTACGTAAGGCCGTCCTATGTACTCGTCCCGTTAGCTATGTTTTCCTGCGCAGGCGCACTTTCAGGCGTCTGTGGTGAGCTAGTTTCAGACAGTCATTGAAGCTCATCTTTCTCACCGTCGTTCTTTGAAAATGGCCGAGGGTTGTAAGAGAAAAAGTGTGTACGAAGTGTGTGAGAGGAAAGAAAGGCCTCAGAAGAGGCAGATATATCCCAGAATGCTTTGCACAGAAAGCTCTCCTCGCAAAGCATTCTGGGATTTGTTGTCACATTGGCTGTCGCTTACTGACAGCCCTGACTTAAGCCTGATTTTTGATCAGTGTGCGTGTGTCGCACCAAACCCACATATGCCCCACCCCCCTTCCGCAGACACTCTGCTGCTCTTTTTCAAAATTATAGTTGAGCGCAGACAGGAGGCCTCTGATTGGTCAAATCTACATCCGCTCTACACTATGCGTATTTCCTGGTAGGTACCTTACCGGCTTGTTTTGTTTGTATGACCACCATTGTGGTCATACAAACATTGTGGCCCTCATGTCCCTCCGTTGTTGTACAAACTTGCCCCCACTTCCTCACCGCCTCGGCCGTATCTAGGCCCACAGCTAGTTCCTGATTGGCCCTCTGGCGTTGTGGCGTGGAATAACATAGCGCAGACCACGGTTCAATATTGGGCAGAAATAAAAAATATCTGCGTCGTACCTTCGACAAGCTCACTGCGACACACTGCTGCGGGAGTATAACCAGCCCTTAACCCCCATATGCACGCAGACACTCTCAACTCATACCACCTCCCAGAAATTGTAGGTTACAGCAGACAGTGCCGCAGACAGGAGGCGTCTGATTGGTCAATTCTACATCCGCTCTACACTATGCGCATTTCCTGTTTCGACCTAATGGCAGAATCTCTGGCTGTAGTGCCGTCCACAATGCCCGGCACACCTCAGACACTGTCCCAGACGCAGTGCAGGACGCTGGTTTGTAACTTTGAGCGACGGTCTGTTAGTTTGCACCGGAAGGCAAAACACGCTGCGCCACGGCCAGTCTTTGGGAAACACTCACGGGTGAACTGTTTGTCGTCTGGCGTTGGATGAGGGGTTGTAGACGGCGAACAAGCTCATCAAACGGACGCACAGACACCCACAATCCTAGCTAATTCCTGATTGTCCCTCTTGCATTGTGGCATGGAATAACAGAGCACAGACCATGTTTCAAAATTGGGCAAAAATCAAAAATGTCTGCGTCACACCTGTGACAAGCTAACTGCGACACACTGCTGCGGGAGTATACACAGCCCTTAATAACAAAGACGACGCAGGCACTGTGCGGTGGAGGAGGAGTTACATAACCAATGGGGGAGCAAAAAGCAGTGATCATCTGTCCAAACGGTAAGTTAACTGAGTTCGCAATAAATTTAGGGGTTAGAGCGGACGTTTGGACACAGTAAGCTTGTATTATGGTAGGCTCAAAATGGTAGAATTATTTTAAGACAAGAAGAAGAAAAATTTAAACGATTCAGTCAATTTTGTCCTCCGGAGGGTGGGAACATTTATTGACAAGTCGAATCGTAGTTTTATCCCCCTGGAATGGCGGGCCCATATGAAGCTGTATTTATACCCTAGCACCAAGTGCTATTTCAAAATCTAGCTGGTGTTTGAATGTGCCATTGTTCACATGGCCAAAATCGTCTCTGATACTTAAACAGGAAAAAGATGCTTTCATCAAGATCTCTTGGCTCACAAGTTATCCTACGTGCATGTCACCAGTTAAGAATCTTGTTTTTGCAAAGATTCGTACGTGACCTCCAGCATGTACTGTTTCTGTGTGCTAGGGTTCAAACACCCTGTCCACTGTATTCTCTGTGTGTTGCTAAGTATTTATTGTTAGGATTCCAGTTTGTGTGGGTTGTTTTTTGTGTTTTCCTCTCTCCACTACCAGGTGGTGCCCTGTCCTCGTTGGGCCTCCCTGCACACCTGTGGCTCGTTGGGTCATCACCAGAGGAGTATTTGAGCAGCAGGCTGTCACTACCTCTATGCCAGAGTGTTTGCCAGTATTGGGTACTCTAGCCAAACTGAGATTAGCACAGTCTAACCTTAGCCTTGTCTCTCTGAGTCTAAGCTTGCCTTTGTCTTTTGTTCTATGGCAGGAAGCCCTCCTGATTCACTGGATAAGCCTGGACCTTCTACCCCCCCTGGAAGAAAAAACTGAGTCACACTGAGCAAGGGGACACCTCCACATGATCCGTTCAAGTCCTCTTCAGGAAAACCCGGTGACCGTCCACTCCATTGCTCCTCTGGACCCAAGGTTAGTCTGCCTGTCCGCCCTCCAACGAGTTCTTCAAGTCAAGTCAGCTTTTATTGTCACTTTCTTGATATGTACAAGACATACAAGGGAAATGAAATTACGTTTATATCTCTTTTAGACTTTTTCCCTTCGTTCCCTGAACTGATCATTGTGATCTCCCCCTCAGAGTTTCTGGTTCCGGTTCACCAGTCCGCTGAGGTCCAACAGTGTTACCCAGTTGTATATCTCAGTCTGTGTTTTTGCTAACCACAATAAACCTGTAAACTTTTACCCTTGGCTTCTGAGTGTCTCTGCATGTGGGTGAGATCCTTAAAACCCATCATGACATGTATAAGGCCTTGAAATATGTTTACACAGTGTGAACATTATATAGCCCCATCACCATGAGCTGGTGCATGCTCTTTCAGGTGTTTAATAAGCGTTCCTTCTTGGGAGTGGGTACAGGGTTTGAACTGGCGACTAATAACAAAGATGGCGCTGGCACCGCGCAGTGGAGGAGGAGTTACGTGGCCAACAGAGAGCAAAAAGCAGTGATCATCCGTCCAATCGGTAAGTTAAATGAGTTCACTATATAGTCCACTATATAGTCCGTGCTCTACATAGAGTTGGCCAAAGAAGCTGCTATTTTGAGATGCTAAGCCAGATTTTTTAACATCTGGACCAAAACACAATCCTGCAAAACTACAGGCCCGTTACAAACCTTCCCTTCAGCTTAAAGGTATAGAGGACGGTCTTTTATTTCCGGGTGGATCATCTAAATAATTGGGCCTCAAAATTGTCAATCAGTCTGGTGATTTCTTTACGTAAGGCCGTCCTACGTGCCCGTCCCCCATTAGCTATCTTTTTGTCAGACAATCTGTGGTTAGCTACGGTTTCAGACAGTCACTGAAGCTCACCGTTCTCACAGCGTTTCTTTGAAAATGGCAGAGGCTCGTAAGAGAAAAGTGTCTATGAAGTGTATAAGAAGAAAAGAAAGGCCTCAGAAGAGGCAGATATATCTCAGAATACTCTGCGTGGAGAGCTCTGCTCCCACAGCTAAGCTTGTATGAGCTATGAAAACAGCAACTTTTAAACAGAGCGTGCATGAGGAGAAATGGGCTCATGCACGCTCTTCCACATGTTAAATAGGCGGTCCTTTTCAGGAGCGGGTACAGAGTTGTGCATTTTTTCAAAAAGCGCAGAGGGCGGGACCTTTCAAAAATTCACGAAATTTCTCCAGAATAGCTATAAGGCATGATGTTCCATCATAATGACATACCTGGGGAGTTCTGTGGGGAGGAAACGGGGGACCCCCGAGATGACGGGCAGTAGCTGGGGAGGAGTAAGGCATGAGGAGGCACGTAAGACATCACTTCATCTTCAAACAGACTGTAGGGGGAGACAGAGAGAGAGAGAGAGAGAGAGGCTTCGGTACCGAGGTGAGATCAGGAAAGGAAAGGAGGCCTGTTACGGATCAGCAGAGACGTCTCACCTCAGCAGAATGACGAGGTCGGCGTCTCCAGACAGCCGGGTCAGTCCTGACACTCCATCTGTGCGGATCAGCTGGACCTTCTCCCTGAATCCACATCCAACATCACATCAACAATCATCCAGGAGATCATTCATCCCACTTCCACCTTAACCTCTTAATATCCACCTCATTTTGGGAAATTCTCGTATATTCTGCGTACCCAAATGGAAAAGCAAATAACGGAGGAACTGTAAGCTCAAATTACATGTGTGATACATCATTTGAAAGCTACACCCTCTAGTTTCTGAATATATACATAGAAATTGGGTGAGTAAAAAACCCAAGCTGCATCAGTTCAAACAAGACTCAAAGTTGTTTTTTTATTCTCGAAGTCTTTTTATGAACAGCAGTTATAAAGTCATGCTTATTTATTGTGGCTGATTTGTCATGGTACATTTTGACTTGCTGCTATATCTGTGTTAATTGTGCTTTAGTGCTCGCCATGTCCATAAAATAAACTAGGTGGTTGTATTTTGGAGAACCTAAGCTTTCCAACGATGGCTAACATGTGTATATTGGTAAACATTTTACCCGTGTAATTTTCATGCATTCCGAGTTATTATATGTAAATGCTTTAAAACGGGTCGCCGGCGACCCGGTGGGTTTTGAGAGGTTAAATTCATCTCAACTCGAAACAATAGAAGGTATTCGTGATCATTTGAAGGACTCGGGTTCCATCTGACATTAAAACAGACTAAAATTTAAGGACTTCTATCGACTCAATGCCAGAGTAATGAGAGAAAAAGCCATTACTCCAGCTGAACCAAGAGCTTCACAATCAACACTAAGGCCATTTCTTAATTCACAAGAATGCAGGTGCGAACTTGTGTCCTCGCCAAGTCTGTTCTTGAGAAGAACACAGGAAAGTCTGGACTCAGGGAGAACGGGAGTCCGCAGAATAAATCTAGATCAACTGGAACAGAAGCGTACTGATGACGTTAGACCTGGCTGCTGAGGAAGGGCTAACATAAAGCCTGGATGCTAAGGAAAAGCTAACCTTAGCCCTGGCT